GTTTGAAGTGGGTATTCCGTACTAAGATGGATAAAGAAGGGGATGTGATATGAAACAAAGAAAGGCTGGCTGTTAAAGGATACTGTCAGGAGGAAGGTATTGATTATGAAGAAACCTTCGCTCCAGTAGCAAGGTTAGAATCAGTGCGGATCATTCTAGAGTACGCAGCACATAAAAAATTTTAAGTTTTTCAAATGGACGTCAAGTTTTCTTTTTTGAATGTGGAGTTGGAAGAAACCTTATATGTTGAACAACCACCAACTTTCATGAATGAGAAATATCTTAATCATTGCTACATTCTGGACAAGGCGGTTTATGGTCTAAAACAAGCCCCTAGAGCCTGGTAGGAAACCTTAAATCGCTTTCTAAAAATGTCTAAATACATATAAGGTTCGGTTGACCCAACCTTCTTTCTCAAGAAAGAAGGAGACCATTTAATGATCGTCCAAATTTATTTCGATGACATTATCTTCGGTTCCACAAATCCCAACTTAACAGCTGAATTCCAAAAGTTGATGGAGACTAAATTTAAGATGAGCTCAATGGGTCCAATTAACTTTTTCCTTGGCCTAAACATAAAACAGGGACCAGAAGGTATATTTATCAATGAGGAGGCATACATAAAGACCTTTCTGGTAAAATTTAGCATGATGGGAGATTCAAAAGTGAAGGTTCCAATGGCATTCAGAATGAAGTTAAAACCATCCTTGGGAAAACCGACTGTTGATATGACTCTCTATCGACAAATGATAGGATCGCTAATTTATCTTACAGATAGTAGACCAGATATCATGTTTTCTGTTTGCTATTGTGCCAGGTTCCAAGCCAATCCACGCGAAACTCACATGGTGACTTCTAAGAATATCTTCAGATATTTGAAGCGAGCCTCGTCTCTCAGTATATAGTATCCATTTAAATCAAGCTTCTTTGTTCAAGCATTCTCAGATGCCAATCATGGAGGCTGTGGTCTAGACCGAAAGAGAACAACTGGAGGGTGTCAATTTCTGTATGGCAAACTCGTCAACTGACAGTCCAAGAAACAAACATATGTATCCCCTTCCACATCCGAAGTTGAATATATAGTCGCTGCATCTTGTGCTTCACATGTCATTTGGATTCAAAGTCAGTTAAGGGACTATCGCCTAAACATGAAGCGAATCCCACCATACTGTGACTCAAAAAGTGCAATCCACATTTGTCACAACCCAGTGCAGCATTCAAAGAAGAAACACTTTGCACTGCGATATCACTTTATCAAGGATCACGTAGAAGATGGTAATGTTGAAATTCACCTTGTTCGATCTGTTGATCAATTGGCCGACATATTCATAAAATCCTTGCCTGAAGCAACCTTCAATTGAATACTTCAAGGCTTAGGAATGATAGAACCTGAATGTGTACCCAAGCCATCTTTGCTTCCATAAGTATCACTTTTGCTTTCGCCTTATTTAAACGTAACAAGCGAAATAGAGCGAATGCTCGGTCTATTTTGGTTCCGATTTTTTCGGTACCCGAATTGTACTGAACGTTCGGTATATTTCACTTCATTATCAAAAATGCGAACATTCGATTGAAATTTATGTATGCTTTTATACATTTTTTTCCTTTCTGTTTTTATTTCTTTTTCAGATAATCCAAAATACAAAAATATTTTTCCTTTCTATTTTTATTTCTTTTTTAGAAAAATCCAAAATACAAAAAATATTTTAGGTTTTTTTTTATATTTTTATTAGTATTTCTTTTTCTCATATAAATCAAAATTCCAAAAATATCTTATTAAAAAGTTCATGGACGAATTCACGTGATGGAGCTAGGGAAGGTATAAATCTCTTAATCTATATACTAGCTAAGTGTCCCTAAAAACATGCTGTTGCATGTTGTCCAAAGCCTCAATTGACTCTTCAAGTGAAGCCTTAATGAATCGATATATACAAATCGTTTCTTCCCAAAAAGGCTGCTAAATTCACTTAAGTCATAAGCTACCTTACTCTTCTAACATTGAGTTAAGAGTTATCTACTTGGTCACTATCGTATAGCAGAGGAACTTTTACGTTTCATAAATATAACCCTTGAGACTCTCAGCATTTACTACTGAGGTTTAAGGTTACACAACATTTGTGTTAATGATCTTAGTTTCATTTCACCACGTAATAAGTGAAACCTGAAATCCAATACCCTAATTGAATTGATGGTGAGCAATCAAACATTCTAGTTTCTCACCGATGTATTAACGAAACCACTCATGTGGTATGTGCCAAGAAATCTCTTTTCTTTTTTTGAGGTCTTTGTGAAATTGTCTATCACTAATGCATTTCTACCAAAAAAAGGTCCAGTTTTATTTTGTTTTTGAGATTTCTGCTCTTTCACCAAGTCACTGAAAAAGATTCCAACCTACTTGATGTTATAGGCTACACCGGCCACATAAGTACTTCACCCAACTTTTGAACTTATGTTAAGTTTCGTAGTTTGGTCAAAGAAAAACCCACCCTTTGAACCGAATTAAAATACGCCTTTCAATGTTTCTTAACAGATAACTGATCGTATTTCCACAGGAAACCACACAAGCACTTTTCAGTCTCTCTTGACTTTGAAGGAAGCGATTCATGCCTGGGATCCACAGTTTTGTGTCTCTAATGACATCACTTAAATCCCACAGATATAACTTTCTTTATTTCCTTTTCTTTGGCACACATTTGCACAAGAATCTCTTGATTTTCCAAAAGTCTTGTTCGCTGGGAATAAGTTAATGATGACACGACACATTTTGAGGATAAGAATTCAAACTAAAAAGGCGCGTGAAATTTGAAACGTCCCTATCATCACGTCATATGAAAACATTTTTGGAGGAATAGTTGTCATTTGCACTTTTTCAAGCGTCATTTCAGAGTTGGTCACACACTCGTCATCACTATTTTCTCTCTCCTGGTACTCGTATAAAAGGATTTCCCATAATGCTTTTTATTCTCCACTACTTACAAAAACCCTTGAGTATTAAAAAGGAAAAAAACTCTATTCACTGTTCATCTTCTCAATCAAGCTTCAACAATGACAGAATCATCTTCAGTTCAAGAACACACTGCTCAATCCACTCTCCTCATGATCGAACCCAACCAGAACGTGATCATCGACTTGATGCCTTTCAAGTATGATGCATTCATGCTCCAGATCATTGAATGTTTGAAATAATCACCACCGGTAATCGCTTTAACCAAGGTCGATATTGTTCCTATGTCACTCCTATCTCAGGTTTACTCTTCGGTGAAGTATGTTAAGGAGGAAGAACGGATTATGTTTGATAAGAAAACTTCTGTCTCCTAAATTAGGTTTTTCTCTCTATTAGGGCTACCCTATACAAACTCCATGGTGAATCCTGATTTGATTTCTATAGCTTAGCTCTTCGAAATGTTCTACAACATGGGGTACACTGATCTTCTCTCTATTATCACAAAGGTTAAGAAATCTTGCATCCCTCCTCAATGGAATGGGTTGTTTACTCTTCTCTTCAAGAGCTTTTCAGAACGAGTAACTGGATCCGATGGTGCTAGCAAAGCCTTCATGAACACTCTCTATGGTCTATACCATGGCATCAATCTTGATTATGGATTTGCTCTCTGGAATCAGTTGGTTCAAAGTTTGAATTCTTCTTCTCGTCACACCGAAATTTCCTATGGAAGGTTCTGGACCATCATTACCGAAAGGACTATTGAGAAATTTTGAGTTCCTGTTATGGCGGATTCTTTAATGTCTGCTATTACTACTTTCCACACCACAAAGATCATCTTATTAGACCCTTCGAATTTTTCTTTTATCGGGTTAATTCCTGAGTCAATGTATAGGTGCGTTTCAACTGCAGGCAAACTTATAACCGAATACAAGAAACTTCCAGGTTCGGATCCAAGGCTCGTTACTTTAGAAATGCAAAGCTCCATTGATGAAGCTGACAAACCAAAGAAAGGAGGTAAGAAAAAGGACAAAAGAAAGGAGATTTAAGAGGGACCCTCATCTAAACCTATCACACCTAAGAAGCGAAAGGGTCAAACGGCTGAACCTTCGACTCCTCAGAAGTGAAAGCTGCGAAAGATGACTCTAAATCCGAAAGCTCCATCATCAAGCGATAGTGACTATGTTCCCTCGGATTAGGATGATCGGGTTGAACACGAAAAGGAGCAAAACGAGTCTGAGGATACAGATCGTGAAGACTCACTTGAGGTAATCTTTACTGAACGAGTTCTATCTCCACCTCCTTATCCTAAACACACTACTGCTCCAGTTTCTATTGCTCCTTGCCCACCTCGTGTTTCATCTCAACCACCCACTTCTACACCTTTACCACCACCACTTTTCACCAAAACAACTACTACCACCACTACTACTACCTCAGCCGGGCCTTTTGTTAATGTCAACACATCTGATGCGAGGGAAAAGACATCAGGCTTCACTACATCCACTACATCTCCAGTTTCTCCTCAACAACATGGTTCCGAAGATGTTCTTGGGGGAGAAGGATTTGATTTTGACACATTCCATTACAGTCCTTTCTCTATTCAAGAAGATAGTGACGAAGAAGCTCCCATTACTCAGATGGATTTGAAGGATCTAAATGAGACACTGGATTCCATCCTCGCTTCTTCTACTATTTCTTCCAGCAAAGCTTACTATGAAGTTTCTGTGAAGGGTAATCTTGATACCCTTGTTAAGGAACTTATTGCTAGTCTTGACAAAGCCAAAAAATCAGTTGAAAATTATAATCAATCTTGTAAAATGTCGATAAACTAGTCTCTAAAACAAAATTGTTTCTTACTGAGATCAACACAACTGCTGCAAACAACGCTACTAACACGAATGATGTCATCGTCAATCTCAACACCTCACTGAGAAAAGAACGAGAGTCCATTGCGTAGCTTCGGGCTAATATTTCTGCTGACAATTATGGGTTTCAAGAGTCTATCTCTTCAAGACTTTCTAAATTTCAAGAAGACTTAACAGTTGAAAGCAAAATTATGGACCAACTTGCCATTCATACAACTCAACAAAAGACTCAATCCGTTAAACTCAAGCATGCACAACAGGAGATTGACAAGCTCAAATTTGATCGAACAGGTATAAGAACCCTTGTAAGTGATGTTATCTCACTGTTATCAAACCTCCTCGAAGCTCATGACCCAATCCTGACAATCACCATCAGACGGAATATCGCTGACAAGCTTTGCCCTGTAATTGCTATGTTAAACCGAATAGAGGGTGTTCTGGAGGTCCCTGTCATTCCAGAACAAGGGGGAGAGAAAACAAAGGGCAATACAAAGGTTGAAAAAGGGAAGGAACCAATGGGAAATTATGATGAAAATGATGATTCTGAGGAGGAACAATTAAAGAGAAAGGCTCACGATCATGAACTCGATGAAAATGCTCGCATAGTGAGGGAAGCTGAAGAGAAAGAGCGAAAGGAAAAAGAAGCTCATGACACATTGGAATGCAGAAAACTGCTGTTTCCACTGTGGACGTTGGAGAGAATGTTGCATGAAGCTGTTCATCTGCCAAGTGTACACTGGTTGGAACCAGTTGCTTCCTTTGATCTAGTTAACACGAAGTTGTTCATTTTCCAAGTGTACTCATCTGTATTTTAGCATGGATTTTCACCCCCATATGGATGGTGAGAGTGAGCGGATCATCCTGACCTTAGACGATATGCTGCGGGCGTGCGTATTAGACTTTGGTGGTAGCTGGGATACCTACCTACCCTTGGCAAAGTTTTCCTACAATAATATCTATCATGCAAGTATTGACCATCCTCCCTTAGAGATGTTATATGGGAGGAAGTGCAGAACCCCGATATGCTGGGGTGAGGTTGGGCAGAGGGTCATGAGGAGTACTGAAGTGGTACTTAAGACAACAAAGAGGATCCAAAAGGTCCGAAGCAGGCTTCAGACTGCTCGGAGTTAGCAGATAAGTTATGTCGACAAGCATCATTCAGACCTGGAGTTTCAGGTAGGAGATAGTTCTCCTAAAGGTGTCAACTTGGAAAGGTTTCATCCGATTCAGGAAGCGGGGTAAGTTGGGCCCTGGGTACATTGTCCCTTTCAGGGTTATAGCCTGGGTGGGCAAGGTGGCGTATAGTCTGGATCTTTCAGCCGAGCTTAGTCAGATCCACAACACATTTCATGTCTCCTAGCTATGGATCTACTTGGTGGATGACTCTGTAGTGGTGCCTCTAGAAGATATTCAGGTGGATGACAGCCTGAACTACATCGAGTGACTGGTAGCCATCCTCGACAAGAAGACGAAGGACTTGAGAAACAAGAAGGTTGAGTTGGTGAAGGTGCAATGGCAGCACTACAAGGGCTTGGAATGGACCTGGGAGCCGGAGGACAAGATGAGGGAGCACTACCCACAGCTATTCCCAGACGTAACAAACTTCGAGGAAAAAGTCTAAAATAAGTGGGGGAGATTTGTAACGCCCGGATCCTGGTATGTATTTTAAATCAAATTAGTCATTTTTGCAATGGGACTCGATGAGTAGGGGCCCTTACTCGTCGAGTAGGAATGGATTTCTTTGGACGCGGATCATAAAGTCTACTTGGTGAGTTGATGGACCCCAACTTGATGAGTAGGGCTGCCAGAGTGAAACCATAATTTCCAGGGTTTTGCACCCTATTTAAAGACCTTAATGCTTCATTGTAGCCTCCCTCATCGCCCCCTCATTCCAGTAAAACCCTAATACGTGATTTCAATCCACTTTTGAGTGTTTGTGAGCGATTGTATTGTGTTTTTGGTGATTTTGAAGCTTGAAGAGGAAGGAGAAGCTTGGGGATTCAAGAGGAAGACAGTAGATCCGGAGTTTGCACTGTATTTTTGACTCTTTTAAGGTATAAAGTTGATACCTTGGCTTTCTTTTAGGGTAGTATGTTGTCACTTTTGGGCCATATTGAAGTCATTTTCGGGATTTGTGTATCATAAAGTTGTGACTTCAGATCTAGGCACTCATAAGCTTATAAGGCTTAAATTTACTAGCTTTATCAAGCCTTATCCCTTTTCCATGCCCTAGACCTCTTATAAAGCTTAGATTTTGTGTTTTTAGCTTCATGACACCATGCATGGAAGTAAAGTTAGAAACTTTACGTGATATATTGACCTTAGGGGACCAGATCTATGGTTTGGTAGCATTGAGCATAACCGAAAGTGACTTAGTGGATATAGTCTAAGGGGAAATTGACGATTTGTTCATGTAACTCGACGAGTTGGATCGTGGTCCCTATCTTTTCTACGAACTCGATGACTCTAGGAGACTACTCAGTGAGTTTGCCATGGCTTTAAGGTTCTGAAGAATGGAGAAATCGGTGAGTTCAAAGAAGGACTCGATGAGTTGAGGCGAGTTAGAGGGTAACTCGATGAGTTGGATCGCGATTTCGGGGTTTTCTGATTTGTGGAACTCGGCGAGTTGATGGACCAACTCAGCGCATTGAGTCAACCAGGATGTTGACTTTGACCAGAATGTTGACTTTGACTTGGACTTTGACCAATGTTGACCCTTAATGGGTCATGTATATGAAAAGGAGAATTAAAGGAATATTTCATGTGCATGAGTTTGAGAGGAAGATTTCAGAGTCGAGGACAGTTCAACTACTGCATGACATTTGAGGTAAGTTACCTTCCAGTAGAAGTGGGTCGAAGGTACCAATGTCGGCCTACTAGTAAGAGTTATAATAGAGATGATTGTCTTTGTGATAGTTATCTGGTATGCCACTATCTGTTATGTCTTATGTGCTAGTATGCTATGATATTATCTGATTGTGGTACGAGGGGTAGGATAGGTCTTAGTACCGGTTGAAAGGACCAAAGGGGTATGTCAGCACCCTGATAAACTAGGAAGTATATGACTTATGTGTTTATGTACTAAGATGATATATGGTAGAAGTAGGGGTGAATTAGTCCCCGGTACTGGTCGAAAGGACTGAAGTGGTAGGCCAACACCCTAATATTCTAGGCGAGGTACTAGTCGAAAGGACCGAAGGGGTTGTCCATCACCCTGATATGCTAGGCAAGTTACCAGTTGAAAGAGACCAAAGGGGTAGGCCAGCACCCTTATATGCTAGGCAGTTACCGGTTGAAAGAGACCAAAGGGGTAGGCCAGCACCCTTATATGCTAGGCAGTTACCGGTTGAAAGAGACCAAAGGGGTAGCCTAGTATCCGAACATGTTAGACAGTATGTTTATTGTATGGTATGTGGTATGATGGGGGAACTCGCTAAGCTTTGTGCTTACAGTTTTCAGATTTTGTTTCAAGTCCTTCTTCTTCGAAGGGAAAGGAGCCAGCACGATACTAGCGCATCACACACACGATTTTCCGTACATGAGATTCTTGGGATTTGTACTCTGACATTCTTTTCCTATGATATGTTTTGAGATGGTTGACTTTAGGTTTTCATGATACGAGATAACATTGATGGCATTTTCAGTAATCTGTTTTATGAATCTTTAAATTAATAATGAAATTTTTGGTCTTGAAATTCTGGGATGTTACATTAATGTTATACTTCATCAACTTCCAACCTCCCATGAGGACCAAAGTCTTCAAAGGTTGTAAAACTTTCCTTTTATAGTTATTTTAATCTTTCCAAGTCTTACAAAATGATCATTTGGTGGGAACAAAACTAGTTTTATTTTGTTCAAATCTTAAATCTTCTGTTGCTATGTTTATGTTTTTGAAAGAATTTTTAAATAGAAACCAAAAAATACTCATGTATAACAACTCTCTACAAAATATTATATATACATATTTACGTAAAACAAGATAAAATATACCTTCGTTAATTCGTAAATTAATCGACTTACGTTCCCCCGTACACTGGTACGATATAACGGTAATGATTCCCCAGAAACACCTCCTGAGTCGCTACCTCAATTGCGTGAGCCAAAAACTCTCAAATGACACGAGAACGCATTATTTATAGTCTGGGTGCCACCACGTCACAGTGGTCAGTTGACTATTAAAAAATAATGTGTTCTGCCACGTTCCCTTCATCGTTTCACAAGTGTCTCGGTGACTCATCTCATACCACGTCATGATTCCCCCAAAACTCTCCGACGAATGCCAAATATCGCCCTCTTTTGCCACGTGCCCTTCATCATTTCACAGGTGTCTCGGTGACTCGTCTCATACCACGTCATTGTAAGCATACTACTGCATCGTGGTGACTCAAAATTTGACAGTTGACTTTGACTTCTGTTGACTTTCCTGAAATAGCAATGTAATTTCATCTCAACTTCAAATGACCATAACTTTCTCCAATTGACTATGTTTTTGACAAATTTATATCCGTGGAACCGTCTCAGAGTAATCTATCACTTTCTTTCACTAACTCATGTCTATTCTTGCACAATAATACATGTTATGAAAAAAATGGTATTACAAGTGTCACTTTGAGGATCCTAATAGAAATTATTGAATTTCGGGGGTCCAAATTTAACTCTGTGTGGTTATCAACTGATAACTGCCTTATCCAAAGGTAGTTGAATTTTCAAATTTAGATAAATATCAAAAGTCTCTCTCTCTCTCACTCATTTTTGAGACATGAAATTGACACACCATATTCTGTCTAGTTCTTGATCATCTTCTGTGCCTAGAACATCGATTGCCCCTTTGAGGATTATCCAATATTGAATTTCTCGTAGCCCAAATATAGGGGAGAAATATTGATTCGGAAAGTGAACCTACACGATCGTTGAAGAATCCAATGATTTCCTATTCGATTTGCTACCATATTTTCGAACAAATGTTCCACTCTTGACTATATGTAAGCACTCTATAAGCTCCTGGTGTTTTGTTGTTTTTGCTACCTGGTATGTTACTAGGTTGCCTTTAATAAAGCTTGTCGTTTCAAAACATAAAATAAAAACAGACGTATCGTTTCACCAATTGGAAATTTCAAAGTTTGCACATACCGACTCACATATCGACCGTTGTTGACAATTGAGAGACGAATTTATTAGTTATCACTTCAATATTTATTGTTCTTGTTAATTAATATTTTGTTAGATTTTTAATGAATGTTTGTAATGTTTTTTAGAATTATGAGATTTAATATATTGCTTAAGCTGAATTATAATTACGAAGTTAAGCTGTTACCGTTTAATTATTGATTATTGAATATTGAGTTTGAACAAGTTTCTGATAACAAGAACCTATCATCGATCGATTTCTAGATATGAAGATATAGAGCGGATTCGGTTATTATTTTTGGTCATATTAGGTTTTTGCTATTTACGATTTTACATATCAAACAGCTTTGTATAAATACTACTTTAAATAATTTTAAATTTCGACTATAATTGTACCCGGTATCAAATTTTATAGAGAAAATTGCAAATTTAGTCAAATATACTAATTACTTTGTGGAAAATAACAAAAAAAAAAAACTTAAATTACAAAATTAGTCCTTAAAATCGCAGATGGACTAAGTCCATCTGCGATTTCGCATTTCCATCTGCGAACGTACAAGTGCCTAAAGAACATCTGTGTTTTAGGCACTTGTATGTTCGCAGATGGAACAGTCCTTCTGGGATTTTGCGTATTCCAACTGTGATTTCGTAGAGATTTAGTAAAAACGTTTTTTTTTTTTTTCACTAT